CTAGCCTTGAGCTGAAGAGCTGAGGGACAGCGCCCAGGCCCAGAGTTCAGGCCCCCGACCGAATTAAAAAAAAAAAAAGAAAATGGAAACTAAAGAAGGCTGAAAAGCAAGAGGCTCTTGGAATACTAATGACATCATGGAACCAGCAGTAATTACTCATTTTAGCACTATTTTCAAATTTGTTACTTGCTATTAAATGCTATTTCTTTTTTAATTCTAACTTGTTTGTTGGAACTCAGGGTCTCTGTTAGTCAAATACTTTACCATTTAAATCCCTAGCCCCTGGTTACTTTTTCAATCTGGTCTCCTGGTTTTTGCCTGAGCCAAAGCTGAGATTTTATTTCTCCTGCTCGTTTCCCACACAGCTGTATTATAGGCATGTGCCACCTCAATCAACTGTATTTTAAAGGAAGTCTTGTTAACTTTATTCATTTATTTTGCCCCAGCTAACCTTGAACAATAGTCTTTCCAATATTTACCTTATAAGGAGCTGGGATTATCACCATTTCTAGGCCAAATGCTTTTGTGTCCTGGGGATTGAACTCAAGACCTGGGTGCTGTCCCTGAGCTTTTGTGCTCAGGGCCAGCTCCTTTTCTGGCTTTGGGGTTCCTTACCTGAGCTGGCTTCCAACCTCAATCCTTAGAGATCTCAGCCTCCTGAGTGGCTAGGGTTATAGGTGTGAGCCAGGCTCCAGCCCCAAATTCTATTCTTAATGAAAGCATGTACTACTATTGATTTACATAATAATTCTAATGAAATCCACTGATTCCTCTTATGTAATACAAGGAAATAATGCACAGAGGTTTTAAGTTCCTCAGGGCCACAGGCTGAGAAATGGTGGTCTCAAACACCAGGAACATAGTCATAGTCCTGTTTTCAATACTACAGCCATGTGTATGCAATGACATACCAAAAAAAACATAACTAAATACTCACTTTCCAAATACCGTATATTTCATGTCCAAATGTGGCTGCTTGCCGTAGGTGATGAAAAACTGAGATCCATTGGTATTTGGGCCATTATTCGCCATAGATACAACACCTCTAACATTGTGCTGAAAAAGACAGACCAAAGCATCCATTTAACCGTGTTTCCCAATTTAGGAATGAACAAGAAGACATGCACTCTTCCTTCCTAATATTTAAGGAATCAGTAAAACATTTATCTTGCTTCTCTTGGGGCTGGGGATGTTCACTCAGTGGTAAAAACACTTGCACAGTATGTGTAAACAAAAGAAAGCTCCAAATATTCAGTGTCTGTATTGTCTGTCTACCTGAAAAACCTGCATGAAAATTGTTTATATATTAAATACTATCAATCAATTGCATTCCACTTTGGAGAAATATAGCCAAACACTTGTAGCAATACCAATGTATAACAGAAACAATCCTTACATTTATATTAAGGAGTAGTGTGCTGGCATGAAACCATCAGACAACAAAATCAAAATCCCCATAATCTCTTCTTATATACTGGACTCTTGCTAGTTTCTTTATCTGAAAAACAAGGGAGATTGGGCTACTTCAGGAGTCTATGTGGATGAAGATGCTCATGAGGACCTAACAATAAATTAACAACTGGGCAAAACATAAACACTGGGCAGAGTTGGATTCTGGCAATGTCCATTAGGGCATCTCTTGTCCGATGATATTAGAACATTTTTCTTAATTGATAGCCACAGAGAATGCATCTGTGTTTTCCTCTCATGTATACAATCAGTTTATAACCTCAGACATAGAAGATGTAAGGAAGGTCTTAAATCATATCCATCTTAGATTATTTAATCTATTCTTTTTTATTTTTTGGTTTATTGGTAGGCTTGAACTCAGGGCCTGGACACTGTCACTAAGCTTTTTTACTCAAGGCTAGAGATTTACCACTTTGATTTTTAGGTGAAGTCACATGGACTTTTCTGCTCAAGCTGGCTTTGAACTGTTAATTCTCCGATTTCAGCATCCTGACTAGCTAGGATTTCCAGGTGTGAGCCACTAGCACCCAGCCACTTATCAATCCTTAATATTATGAACCATCTGTTTTTAAGGACTGTGTACTAAAGGACCTTACTGACATGACTAAAGGCATAACTGAGCTGTGCTATAGATACATGGCTAAATTAAAAAAAGAATGTGACTTCACTGATTGCTGTTAGCTGTTCATTAGGTGACACTAATTGCATAAATTGCAGAGGTGGAGCAACAACAAAAATTAGTGTCTTAGTATTTCCCTAAAAGATGATTACCAGTTGGGTGTGGTAGTGCATTCTTGTAATCCTAACATTTGAGAGGCTGATGAAGGATCATTGGGAGATTGAGATGAGCCTAAGATAAACAGTAAGACCTTATCTCTAAATAAATAATAACATGGCTACCAATCAAATGTTATACATACACATGCTGGGTGCTAGTCGCTACTCAGGCTGAGATTACAGTTTGAAGCCAGCTCAAACAGAAAAGTCCCTGAGATTCTTATCTCCAATTAACTAGCAAAACGCCATAAGTGGAGTCAAAGTGGGGCAATTACCAGCCTAAAATGAACACACACACACACACACACACACACACACACACACACACACACACACACACACACACACGCACGCCAAGCAGAAGTACATGGCCCTGAGTTAAAAAAAAATATATGAGCTAGAGTCATGGCTCAAGAGGTAGAGCTGACTGCCAAGCAAGCTGAGGAAGCATGAGGCCCTGAGTTCAAGCCCTGGGACTGGCATAGGAAAAAAGAATTCAGATTTACCAAATTGTTGAATATGTTATTTACTCCTCTTTATTAGCTCACCACTGATAAAATGTAACCCTATGTAACAAGTATACCTGCCAAGAAATGTATTATTTTCTTTAGGTAATTTCTGAATACTTCAAAACTCAATACAATTTTCATCTTCTGGTAAATGCTTCTTACATTTAATACTAAGATTCATTTGTTTGCCTTATCATATATATATATATCTGGTCCTGGGGTTTGAACTCAGGGTCTGAGCACAATCCCTGAGCTTGTTTTGCTCAAGGCTAGTGCTCTACCACTTGAGCCACAGTGCCACTTCTGCTTTTCTGTTTATGTGGTGCGAGGACTCAAACCCAGGGCTTCATGCATTCTAGGCAAGCACTCTACCATTAAGCCACATTCGCAGCCCTAGATAAATTTTAATATAACTGAAATACACACTAAATTATATACTCTGATTAAGACAATTTATCACTTTTTTGTTTGTTGATTTTTTTTTCATGCCAGTTCTAGGGCTTCAACTCAGGCCCTGGGCACTATTCTTTGGCTTTTTCAGTTCAAGGTTGGTACTCTACCACTTAAGTCCCAGTTCCACATCTGATTTTGTGTGTGTGTATGTCTGGTTAATTGGAGATAAGTGTCTTATGGGCTTGCTTGCCTGGGCTGGCTTTGAACTGCAATCCTCAGATCTTAGCATACTGAATAACAATAGTTATAGGTGTGAACCACGGAAGCCCTGACTGTGTGTGTGTGTTGGTTCTGGCCCTAGAACTGGGAGCCTCCGTGTGTGTGTGTGTGTGTGTGTGTGTGTGTGTGTGTGTGTGTGTGTGTGTGTGTGTGTGTGTTGGTTCTGTGTGTGTGTGTGTGTGTGTGTGTGTTGGTTCTGGCCCTAGAACTGGGAGCCTCTTACTTTCCCTTAGCTTTTTCATTCAAGGCTGGTGTTATACCACTTGAGCCACACCTCCATGTTCTGGCTTTTTGCTGGTTAATGGAGATTACCATTTTCTGCTCAGATTGGCTTTGAACTGGCAATTCTTGGATCTTAGCCTCCTGAGTAGTTAGTATTATAGGCATGAACCACCAGTGCCTAGTTACTTCGTTCTTTCCTTAGAGTACTAGGGGTGGGGAGGTTATAGTACTGAACTTGGGACCTAGCACCTGCTGGGAAGGTGCTCCACTATTTAAGCCAGGTTCCCAGTCACTTTGCTTATTTTTTTTTGTCAGCCATGGGGCCTCAACTCTGGGCCTGGACGCTGTCCCTCAGCTCTTTAGCTAAAGGCTACCACTTGAGCCACAGCACCACTTCCGGCTTTTTCTGTTTATGTGGTGCTCAGGAATCAAACCCAGGGTCTCATGCATGCAAGGCACTGAGCCGCCTTCCCAGCCCTGTCACTTTGCTTTGACTGTTTTCCTATAGGATGTCATACTAACTCTGCCTGGGCAATACTGCAACCAGGAGGCAGTAGGTTTTTCTTCCCTGCCTTTCAAAGAAGGCCAATGATGCATAACTAAAATTTCAGGTAAGACTCAAGAGCTCACTTTAGTATCAAGACCCAGGTGATGGTACATATCTTGGGCTAGATCTGCCATTTACATTTTCTCCCTGACATCATTTATTGACTGTGAAGCACTAGAAAAAATTATACCCATTTAGAAATTGTGTCACTATAACGTGTATTAATTTCCAAGTGTAATTAGACAAGAGAATATGACCTTCTGAAGCACTGAGATAATACCTTAAGATATTCACTGTACTCATCCTCAAACTTCTTGCCCCAGATACTGTTACCTCCTCTTCCAGTACCTATATTATAAGACAAGTAAAACAAAGTATCTAATTAAACTTGAGAAACGGTCCAACTTCTAAGTGAATGACCACTTTATACTGTAACTCTCTATGACTGATTGCGGGTCTAAGGGATCAAACCAAGGGCCTCACACATGCTAGGCAAGTACTGTACCACAACTACAGTCCCAACTCTAGCATAATTCTGAAGTACAAATGAAAGTTGTTTTGACCTTAAATGCTTCCCAAAACTAAACTGAAAAGATGAGAAAGATAAATACCCTTACCACTACTGCTAGCATTTTAAGAATAAGTGTCTGCTTGTAATGTCTGCTTATAGTTTTCTTGCTGTTAGTGTAAGGTGGCCCTGCTGTAAAGACTCCACATGCTTTATTTTTTAAATTATTTTATCCTCTTCATATAATACATCAAATTTCTCGATTTTGGTTAATGAAAAAACTTACCTGTTGGATCTCCTGTTTGAACCATGAAACCCTTGATATTTCTATGAAATATACAGCCATTGTAGTAATTACTGGCACAAAGAGCCAAGAAGTTCTAGAGAGAGTAAAAATGTGGATTGAGAAATGGTAGAAACAGACTTAAGATAAACAATTGTACACTATAGCAGCATATTCAACTATGAACTTTAGGCATTATTTTAGATAATGTTTTCCTACCTAAAATTCCTTTGATAGCATTTTTTGTTTTTGGAAAATACAAAATCTTCATTAAGAATGAAAGCCTTTCATGACCTGGGCCCCTCTACTTCTTGTAAAATAACCCCTTTTTCCACTGCTTGCTATGCTGACCTCATCAACATTTTAACAATTTCTCCAAAGGGGGAAGGTTTTCCTTGCAGCTTCTATTTCTTTTCTTTTCTTCTCCTTCTTCCTTTCCTTCCTACATCCCCTCTCCCTCTGTCCTCCTCACATTTAGTAGGCAAATGTTCTATCTACCACTTAAGTCACAACTCTAGCTGGTTAATCTTGCAGATAGTGTTTAACAAACTTTTCTGTCCAGGCTTACCTCTAAGCATGATCCTCCAAGATCTCAGCCTCCTACGTAGCAAGTTAGGATTATAGGAATGAGCCACTGGTACACTGGAATGTTCTTTTTATATTTCTTTCCATGGAAATGCCTTCTTATCTTCAGTATTATACTTTCATACATTCAGTTTAAGTATATAAGTAAAATTTAAGTAGATACTTAAATAAAGTAAATGCATAAGAAATGCTTAAATAAATGCTTCAATAATATTTAAACTGAATGTATGAGTACTCTGAGTAGATCTGGCTTCACCTGTGTGTGTGGGCACACACAAGTGTGTACCAGTCCTAGGGCCTGGGCACTGTCCCTGAGCATTTTTTGTTTTTTGGTTTTTTTTTGCCAGTTGTGGGGGCTGAACTCTGGGCCTGGGCGCTGTCCCTCAGCTCTTCAGCTCAAGGCTAGTGCCCTACCACTTGAGCCACAACACTACTTCTGGCTTTTTTCTGCTTATGTGGTACTGAGGAATCAAACCCAGGGCCTCATGCATGCAAGGCAAGCACTCTACCACTGACCCAATTTACCAGCCCCATTTTTTTCTGGTTTTTTTTTTTTTTTTTTTTTGCTCAAGGCCTGAGCCACAGTTCCCCTTCCAGCTTTTTGGTGGAGATAAAGAGTTTCATGGGGGCTAGGAAGGTGGGTCAGTGGTAGAGTGCTTGCCTTGCATGCATGAGGCCCTGGGTTCGATTCCTCAGCACCACATAAGCAGAAAATACCAGAAGTGGCTCTGTAGCTCAAGTGGTAGAGCACTCGCCTTGAGCTGAAGAGCTCAGAGACATTGCCAAGGCCCAGACTTCAGGTCCCACAATGGACCAAAAAAAAAAAAAGTTTCATGGACTTTTCCTGCCTAGATTAGCTTTCAAACTGAGATCCTTAGATCTCAGCTAGGATTACAGATATGAACCACCGGTACCTGACTACCTTCTTTTTAAAGTAACCCTCCCTTTTTTTTTTTGGCCAGTCCTGGGGCTTGAACCCAGGGCTTGGGTGCTGTCCCTGAAACTCTGTGTTTAAGACTAATGCTCTGCCACTTGAGCCATAGCACAACTTTGCGGTTTTTTTTTTTTGTCGGTCATGGGGCTTGAACTCTGGGCTTTGGCGCTGTCCCTGAGCTCTTCAGCTCAAGGCAGGTGTTCTACCGTTTGAGCCACAGCGGCACTTCCAAACTTCGGGTTTTTGAGTGGTTAATTGGAGATAAGAGTCTCCCAAGGACTTATCTGCCTGGGCTAGCTTTGAACTACGATCCTCAGATCTCAGCTTCCTGAGTAGCTAGGATTACGAGTGAGCCATTAGTACCCTGCCCCTTTCCTTTTATTTTCTATCTCAATACTTAAATTCTTTCAAGGTATTATCTATTATATTTTAGCATTAATTTTTTACTCAATATTTTCCCAGCTAGAAAATTAGCTCCATGAGAAGGTATGTCTCTGGCTTACTCTATACCTTTCAAAAATATTGATAGCTACATATAGACAGGTATAGCTATCTATCACAGTATAGATAGCTCACTCTTCTTCCTTTCATTCTGTCACTTCACCATGTAAAGTATTTATATATAAGTTCTCTTATCTAGATATAATATCTTAATAATTTACTAAGAAAATGAGCAAAAGAAAGATTGTGGAATTCTATGCAGTTATTGAAAATATCCACATTATCTTTGTTCTACTTTAGACATGAAAAGAAATTAGTAAGTTTCTTTTTGTTTGCTTTTCTCGGGGGGAGAGTAGTACTAAGATTGATTTTAAGACCTTTCACTTGATAGGCTGGTGCTCTACCACTTTAGCCATGCATCAATTCTTGGATTTCGCTGATTATTTTGGAGATGGAGACTGGGGAAGTTCTTTGTCCAGATTGATCTCACACTGTAGTCCTCCAGAACTACTCTCTTCTTGGGTAGGTAGGATTATGGGCAGGAGCCACCGAGGCCCAACTCTGACAATAGTTTTACAGAAAGTTTTGTTATGTTTTTTAGGATGGATGATTTGACTTCAAAATGGTTATTGTGTTATATAAACTGATGTGTAAAAAGCAAATAGTGGCACTCACCTCACACGTCCTGGGTGTCCTCTCACAGAAGACTTCTATTTTAATATCACCTACATCTGTATGAAGTGTGACAGACTAAAAAGGAAAGACAATTTAAGAACAAATAAAATTTCTACAGGTAACTACAAGCACTGTACCACTTCCCTAACTGGATGGTCAAGCCGAATGAATAAAGACTGCACTCTCCATCTGGATTCTCTCACCAGGTTTGGGGAGATTATGGAGAGTTCTTGGTTGTCACTTAGCATAGCAAAGTGAAAGAAAAGCAAAAGTACGCTCTTCAGACAGGGATTGGGCAGTGTTAAGAAGGAGCAGTTATGCTGGGACCCAAAAACTCAAGCTTTTAATGGGGTCTGTGGACATAAGGGTGGTCAGTTCTGGAAAACTTAGTTAATATGTCACTAACTTCCAGTGTCAACAACCCCCACACACAGGTAGGCATGGAGGAGTTCTTGGCAGTGGATGGGGAATGTCATTTTTCCCAGGCTATGGGGGTTGCTGACAGGTTAAACTACTGCTACAAAGTACATTTTTGCTCTGTTCTCATTTTGCTTTGCCCTAACAAACCTGCTTCTGTTTCTTGTCTCCTATGTGCCCTTAAATTCTTTCTCCAGCAAGACCAAGAACTTTGTAGCCACAGGACAACATAGCCCAAAAATCAGTGACATGTCTACATGTAGTAATTCTGATAAGCTGTTCTTATTCTCTAAAATTAAATTCAACAAAAGGAAAAGCTCCAGAAGATTAAAAGGTTAGGGCATAAGAATTACTCAAAAATTTGGAAGCAAAGTTGTGATAAAAAATCATCATGAAAAAAAAATCAGGGGCTGGGAAGATGGCTCAGTGGTAGAGCACTTGCCTTGCATGCCTGAGGCCCTGGGTTCGATTCCTCAGCACCACATAAGCAAAAAGAAAAAAGCTGGAAGTGGCA